CGCCACGCGAGACGGCGCATGGGCTGAAGCGTTGCATGAATCGGACTCACAGCCTTACCACTCGCGACGAGCTGTTTCTGCCGCTCCTTCCTGCCTCCGCTATAGCTTCAGAAGGGCGTGAATGGAATAGAAATTACCTCGCGCTGGAAGATTTGCATAGTGGCGCTGTTTCCTGAGCATACGGGTGCCTGTGTAAGGCTTGAGGGATCCGAATTGACATGCGTTGGGAAGTGTGAAAGGTAGCGTGGGAGCAGCGTGTGGTTTTCAACTTGCGAGGGATGTACTCATTAGGCGTCCCATGAATCGCGCCCACCTCTCGTAGTTTGAGGCACACGCTTTGTTCGAACTACGATGTTCCTTGCATGACAAGGGTCGTAGGTACTCGGAAGCATTCGAAATCCTCGGCCATTAGCTCCATAAACACGTCAAATTGCATGGCTTCAATGCAGCCGCTGGAGTGCATTAAATGGACAAATGCTCAGCCTTGCCTTTATGTAGCATTCCACACTAGGCTGTACTTGGCATCAGGACCGTTGCTCCTCAGGGATACAATTCCTGTTGTTGTCCTCTTTTCGAACTGAATGTGCAGTGTTGGTCAGAGGGCACATGCAACCGTATATACTACCCAAAGGCCATTCAGGGCCCGTTGGTGTCGGGCCTCAATTAAGCTAACAGCTTGCTCGCGATCAATGTGTGCATGAAGCATTAATTTCGGGAACAGCGGCTCGACCACAGTGGCGTTTCGGTCGCTCCAACACCCATGCTGTGGACGAAGCATATGTTTCTGTCCTGGCCGAATTCAAAGGAACGTGATGTGAAAGACGCATTTACCTGTCCACATTGTCTTCTATAGACCGCTTGCATCGCAAACAGGCGTTAAGCGCTAAGCCAAGGCAAGGCCTACAGCCCGTTAGGAAGCCCGCTCAGGGGCAGGTGCTGTTTGCCCGCAAGATCTTTTGTCGCTGAATAGGGTTCTGATTTTAAGATAGTCATGTTTGGTCAATATGGATGGTGAAATTGGTGCTAACTGATGCTAAACACGAATTCAGAGCGCAAACCTGGTGAAATGTTCGCTGTTGATGATTTGTTTGAGATAGTACGCGTTTGGTATCATAATATTCTCTCCGTCATTGGGGCTTTGCGGCGCACCCAGCTGCTGAGGTTACCCGGCGTGGCTTGTCCCTCAGCCAGACAGGAGTGACGGGTAGTACGCCATCCCTGACAGGAATGGCGTGGGAGTGGAATACCAAACCAGTGGTTCCCAAAATGCACAGCTTAACACTTCACTATTGATACCCATAATCTTCTTGTGCAGAAAAATCAATTCAAGGTATTTTTTGGTAGATGCAGACTCATTTAACGCTGGCATGATTGGGACTGGCACAATGATCAGCGTGACGTTCTGCAAGTGCCAGGCAGTCAAAGAAGAAGAAACTGCGGTTAGAATGGAGCAATAAAATCGAAACTTAAATTTCATCGCTTGCAGGCCTAACTGGCTCTATGTCATTTCGCCTAACCCATATGATTTATCAACACACCGATCGCGGCAGGAATGTCACCAGTGAATTGTTGCAGCTGAATGGAACCAAGCGGTCTAAGGGTCGACCTCTCAGACGCGACGTGCCGGCAAACCATCGGGGCAGATGACATCAAAAGATCAGATGACCAGGATTGCCAGATCTTGCGTGCTTTGGGCATGTTGCTCTTTGTCTGCTCCTGAACTTAACATCCCTCTTACAATAAATGCGCCAGTTAGAGCTCAAACGAAATCTGAGCCATCCAGCAACTAGCCGCTTTCAAGGCTTAGGGTTTTTTCGGAGCAGCAGGTCCGTTTTGCTGCCAGGCAAATGCGCAACATGGTGGCCGGAATTCACAGATGGCAAACACAGAAATCGGGATATTATCTTACGTCCCATCATTGGAACCGTGCTGTCACGCTTCAATCTATGCTTGTGTAGGCCAGGGGACTGAACAGCTTTCCAGAACTCTCATACGTCTGGGCCGTTTGTTATGCTGGTGATCATCGCCTGCGTCCTTCCAGGTGGGCCACTAGTGAGTTCGACCTGACTGTACCTGCGAACGACGTGATGAGGGCCTAGCAAAACACACGCCTTGTGATGGCGTGGTTGTGTCGGCTGTGTTTCTATTGTGTGACTGGCCGACCATAACAAACTTAGGCATTAGTCGTGCTTTGATAGCAGCAAAGAAATTGACAACAACGGCGGGCATTTTCTTTTGTTTGGATAATAATTAAACACACTTTCCAACATGCAACTCATGTCCCTGATTTCACCTAGACTACTGAACGTGGCACAATGTTAACGAGATTCCCGCCCTGCTCGACTCCCCTTCCTTGCTTTCTCATTGTGCTTTGTGTCCAACAACTACTCGGCGATTATATGGAGTGTTCGGTCCCAGATGGTGACAAATCGACGGCACAATCACTGGATGGCAGTTTGCTTGGCAATCACTGAGCTACTGCTGCAGTAAAACTGAAACGATCCACACCGCAGCGCCCCGTTTGAGAGCCTGCAATCGTCACATATTCACATGTTTGTGACTTCGGGTGTAGTTGAACCTCAGAATACAGCCGGACTGGGAATTAAACACGGATTTACTGTCGAACCAACGAGAGACCTTCGAATCGATGCCAACAAATCACGCTACGCTACGCGCAGGCACTAGATTGAATGTGAGTTGTGAAAGCTGTCCTTTTAGGAACCATTGACGGTTCAGTTAATCTACGGCAGTGCTTTCTACGCTACGCGCCGAGGGCTATTT